TTGTGTTTGCTCTCACTATTGCTTTAATAAAGGTATAGGGGATGCCGTCCGGGCCGGTCGCCGAATGCGCTGGACAGGAGTCGATTGCTTTATTAAGTTCTTCGGGGGTGACTATGTCGAAGGTGTTGCTAAGGTCAAAAGAGGGGGGCCTAATGTTTAGGGGGGGATGGTCGGGGGACGTCCGTTTTGAGGGGAAAAGTTGGGCTCTTAGAGCTTGGCACTTCCCCGCAAACGTTTCTTCACCTTGTATTGTTGGTATGATTGTGTCTCTCCTCCTTCCTGCATTTAGGATTCTCCAGACCTCACTACCCTTCGCCTCGTTCATCGTCTTTTCCCGCTGGTCCGCTTTTGCTTTCCGGATCATGACTGTCCATTCTCTGCATGCCTTCCGGTGCTCCTCCACGTGGTTGGGTTTCTTTGTATTTTTCGCCTTCCTTTCTGCCGCGTTTACCCTTGCCTTCATTTGTTTCATTTCCTCTGACCACCAGGAGTTGGCTCTTACCCCCTCCTTCGAGAGTGGTGTTACTATACTGATTGTTGCCCTGACCAGTTCTAGGAAGAAGTCGACAGTTTGTTCCGTATGTTCCTTGGTTTCCCATGCCTCTGCGGGGAGGGAAATGTTTGACATATGGTTCTCCAATAGCTTCCAGTCTGTTTGTCGCCACATCCGTCTTGGTACAAATGGTGGTTTTTCCAAGTGTAAGTGAACGGTGGTTCTCCCGTGGTCTGAGCCCGCTCCATAGGGTTCAGTGCTCCATCGTAGGTTGTGGTCGAGAGTTGGGCCTTTTACAAATGTAAGGTCGATGATTGTAGGCCTTTTCCCTCTGTCTCTGGGGAAGTGCGTAAAGACGCCTGGTTCATTCAGGAGGGTCAGTTTCTGTCTAGTTATCCATTGTTTTAGCCGTGCACCGTTGGCGCGGTCTGCTCGGATGTTATTCCTGTATTCATGTGATGTTACTCCGTACCACATTTGATGATGGCAGTTGAAGTCTCCCATTACTAGACAGTTGTCGAGGGTTTGGATTGTTTTCATCAGGAAACTGAACAATTTCTGGAAAGCATCTCCCGAGCCTCCAGAGAATCAAAAACCGTTTTGTTGTCTCAGGAGAATCTCAGGAGACTCAGGAGACTGTTGGAAGGCTGCTTAAAATGTACAATCTTGCTGATGTTTGCTATTTGGGCAAAGGGGCCACTTCGGCCTGGGGAGTATATATTTAGGATTTGGGTTTTCTTGTTCTGGATTTCTACCGTAATCGATACTATGAAGTTATCATGTGTGTAGTGATGTTTTGGTTTGAGGTTGGCATGTTTGCGGACGTATGTTGCGCATTTTGTATTGGTGTTGCTGGCTGTAAAAGTATAAAAGAGATTTGATTCTGGTGGGTATCCCTCTGCTGAGGTCCATGGTTCTTGTAATAAAAGGAAATAAATACTAGAGTCTGTTTCCGCTTCTTCTACCGCCGCCTTGGTAATAAGTTCGCTTGTAACGGGGACTATGAGCGTAGGAACTATGGGGCCAAGGAATACAACCGAGGCGAAGACGTAGACGTAGGAGGTTCGTGGACTATGGACTATGGGGCCGAAGGGTAGACCTAGGGCAAGAACAGAGACTATGGACTATGGATGGTTGTACCTGGTCTAGTATACCGGGTAAACCCTATGACGTAGCGCGAACCAAATAGTATTCGTAACTATAAAGTACAGAGGTTGCATAAAGAAAGAAGAGAAAGAAAGAGAAACAAGAAATCACAAGACAACGCCCCCCTTATATATCCATACCCTATCCCAATGCTGACTCATACCCTCGCATAACAGAAACAAAAAGAACATAATAGAAACCCGCTTCGCTAAACCCAACCACGCTGCATAATCCTTCTCCCTTATACCCCGACAACTCACATAGCCAACCCGCCTAGCTGCCGTTACAGACCACTCCCCCCTCTAAGGCCTATCTCCTGGTAGGCTTAGGCTTCCGTGGATAACATTCATGGAATCGTTTAACGATATCGGGCGAGTGTTCGACATCCGACAATGGCTGCCACGAAGCTTCATCATAACCAATATACTTTACCAAGTATTCAAACCTTCCCCGACGATTCCTAGAATCCAAAATATCCTCAACTTCCCACTCTGCTTGCCCTTCAATTTCAACCGGAGGCGGCGGTATTTGCTGCTGTCCAGGTACAGGATCGTTTGCTGTAGACGACAATAATGAAACATGAAACACTGGATGTACCTTCATTGATCGAGGGAGTTTCAACTCGTAGGCGTAGGGATTAACGATTCGCTTAACAGCATAGGGTCCAATGCGTTTCCAATCGAGTTTCTTTGAGGGTCGCTTGGTAAGGACATGGCGTGTCGATAAGAAAACTTGGTCTCCTACCCGATAGTAAGGAGCTGGAGTCCGATTCGCATTGGCCGACTCTTCTTGTATCCTTTGCGCTCGGAACATTTCATCTCGTAGAAATTCCAGCACATCCTTCATCTCTCGTGCAATCGTATTGGCTTGGTCTTCTGCTGTTGTTCGTCCATGTTCCAAGGGGCCGAAAGTTATTCTTGGATTCCTTGCCGTATTAGCATAGAAGGGCGAAACTTTGGTGGTTTCCGAAGCATGATTATTTGTTGCAAATTCGGCCATTGGTAACCATTGAGCCCAATCATCCTGTTGATAGGAAACATAGCTTCGGAGATACTGTTCCATCACGGCATTAATCCTCTCCGTCTGCCCATCCGTTTGAGGGTGGAACGCAGTAGAGAACTTTGGTGATATTTCTAGACGATCGCATAGTGACCTCCAGAATTCTGCAACAAACTGAGTCCCCCGATCAGATACCATAGTGTCGGGTAACCCATGTAACTTCCAAACATTGTCAATATACAGTCTCGCTACTTCCCTTGAGTCCGCCTCCTTTGTTGTTAGTATTAGGTGTCGCATCTTAGTTAACCTATCCACTACGACCAAGATTGCATTGTATCCATCGCTCTCTGGGAGGTCGGTAACAAAATCCATTGACACATCCGTCCATGGTCCATCGGGTATTGGCATCGGACGAAGTACTCCATAGGGTGCATTGCGTGGTGCCTTGCTACGGGCACACACATTGCAATTCCTAACATACTGGTCGACATACTTTCGCATTTGTGGCCAGTAGTACTCTCGATTCAGGAGTTCCAAAGTCTTCGCTCTACCTGGATGGCCTGCCGATGGTTTGTCATGATATTCCTTTAGGAGTCTTAGCCGAAGATCGTTGTCATCCGGTACATAGAGTGCGCCACGATAAAGTAGCCGACCGTTGTTATCTTCCGTGCATTCGGCAAGCGAGATCTTATTCGAGTGACGGACACCGTTCCGAAGCATCACGAGTACTTTGTTCGGGAAACTGTCAACTTGGTAAGCATTTGAGAACAACTCTTCTACAGTAGACATTCCTTCAGCGGATTCATTTGAAAAAGAACCCGCGAACAAACTTAGCTTTAAATCCAAATTTTTTCGCTTCAAAACCACCTGGCTTTGATGCGTCAACCGTTCATCCCCCTCCTTAGGTAGGTCACCCGACCTCCTAGTCAATGCATCCGGCTTTACCCCTTGTTTCCCTGGTCTAAATTGAATAACGAAATCGAAACGTGAAAGAAATTCCGACCAACGGGCTTGTCGACGGTTTAATAGCTTTGTTGACATAAAATATTCAAGGTTCCTATGATCGCTGAGGACTTCGATTGGAAATTGCGCTCCCTCTAGATGGTGTCGCCATTCCTCAAAACATCGTACAATTGCTAGGAGTTCTTTATCATAGATTTCATAGTTACATTCCGCCGGGGAATGCTTCTTAGAAAAGAAAGCAACTGGATGTAAAATTCCCTCATCGTCGCGTTGGGACAGAATTCCGGCGGAAACATAGTCGGATGCATCGGTTTCTACCACGATTTTTCGATCCGGATCAAAGTGCATTAGTATGGGTGCCGTTGTAAACATCTTTTTCAATGTCTGGAATGCTTCCTCCCTTTCACCCGTCCATTCGAATTTGACATTTTTCTTGGTCAGAGCTGTAAGCGGAGCAACAATTTTTGAGTATCCCAGAATAAACCGTCGGTAGAAGTTTGCAAACCCCAAAAATACTTGAACATCGTGGAGGTTCCTTGGTGTGGACCATTCCAAAACATCGATAACCTTCTTTGGATCCATCCTATTCCCATCCGGGGTGAGAATAAGGCCGAGATATTTCATTTCCTGGACCATGAATTCACATTTTTCAGGTTTAAGGTGAACATGATTCTCATCAAGTACCTTCAAAACCTTCTGGACGTGATCCTTATGTTCTGATAAAGTTTCCGAATAAATTAGGATATCATCCAAATAAGCCGTGACAAATTGATCGAGATAAGGCCGTAGGATATCATTAATCCAATGTTGAAAGGTGGCGGGGGCGTTGGCTAATCCGAACGGCATTACTGTATACTCGAAATGTCCATATCGAGTTCTAAATGCTGTTTTCCATTCGTCTCCCTCCGCTACCCTGATTGTAACGGGGACTGAGGACGTAGGAACTATGAAGCCAAGGAATACAACCGAGGCGAAGACGTGGACGTAGGAGGTTCGTAGACTATGGACTATGGACTATGGGGCCGAAGGGTACACCTAAGGCAAGAACGGGGACTGTGGACTATAGACTATGGATGGTTGTACCTGGTCTAGTATACCGGGTAAACCCTGTGACGTAGCGCGAACCAAATAGTATTCGTAACTGTGAAGTACAGAGGTTGCATAAAGAGAAAAGAGAAAGAAAGAGAAACAAGAAATCACGAGACAACGCCCCCCCTTATATATCCATACCCTATCCCAATGCTGACTCATACCCTCGCGTAACAGAAACAGAAAGAACATAATAGAAACCCGCTTTACTAAACCCAACCACACTGCATTATCCTTCTCCCTTATACCCAGACAACTCACATAGCCAACCCGTCTAGCTGCCGTTACAGACCACTCCCCCCTCTAAAGCCTACCTCCTGGTAGGCTTAGGCTTCTGTGGATATCGTTCGTGAAATCGTTTAACAATATCGGGCGAATGTTCGACATCCGACAATGGCTGCCACGAAGCTTCATCATAACCGACATACTTAACCAAGTATTCAAATCTTCCCCGATGATCCCTGGAATTTAAAATATCCTCGACTTCCCACTCCTCCTGTCCTTCAACTTCAACCGGCGGTGGTGGTAACTGTTGTTGTCCTGGTAAAGGATCGTTTGCTGCAGACGACAGTAAAGAGACATGGAATATGGGATGAACTTTCATAGAACGAGGGAGTTCCAACTCATAGGCATAAGGACTAACGATCCGCTTCACGACATATGGTCCAATGCGTTTCCAATCAAGTTTCTTCGAGGGTCGTTTGGTGAGGACATGGCGGGTCGATAGAAAAACTTTATCCCCCATCCGATAGTGAGGCGCTGGAGTCCGACTTATATTGGCCGACTCCTCTTGAATCCTTTGCGCTCGGAACAATTCAGCTCGTAAAACGTCTAGTATATCCTTCATCTCTCGTGCAATGGTATTCGCTTGGTCTTCCGCTGTCGTCCTACCATGTTCCAAAGGACCAAAAGTCATTCTTGGATTCCTTCCTGAGTTGGCGTAAAATGGAGAGATTCTCGTTGTTTCAGAAGCATGGTTATTTGTTGCAAACTCGGCCATTGGCAACCATCGAACCCAGTCGTCCTGTTGATAAGAAACATAACTTCGAAGGTATTGTTCCATCACAGCATTGATCCTTTCCGTTTGTCCATCCGTCTGGGGGTGAAACGCTGTAGAGAACTTTGGCGATATTTCCAAACGATCGCAAAGGGACCTCCAGAATTCCGCAACAAATTGTGTTCCTCGATCAGATACCATAGTTTCAGGTAACCCATGTAACTTCCAAACATTGTCAATATACAGTCTCGCTACTTCCCTTGAGTCCGCCTCCTTTGTTGTTGGTATTAGGTGTCGCATCTTAGTTAACCTATCCACCACGACCAAGATTGCATTGTATCCATCGCTCTCTGGGAGGTCGGTAACAAAGTCCATTGACACATCCGTCCATGGTCCATCGGGTATTGGCATCGGCCGGAGTACTCCATAGGGTGCATTGCGTGGCACCTTGCTACGGGCACACACATTGCAGTTCCGAACATACTGATCGATATACTTCCGCATTTGTGGCCAGTAATACTCTCGATTCAGGAGTTCCAAAGTCTTCGCTCTGCCTGGATGACCTGCCGATGGTTTGTCATGATACTCTTTTAGAAGTCTTAGCCGAAGATCATTGTCGTCGGGTACATAGAGTACACCACGGTAAAGTAGCCGACCGTTGTTGTCTTCCGTACATTCGGCAAGCGAGATCTTATTCGAGTGACGGATGCCGTTCCGAAGCATCGCGAGTACTTTGTTCGGGAAACTGTCAACTTGGTAAGCATTTAAAAACAACTCTTCTACAGTGGACATTCCTTCAGCGGATTCATTTGAAAAAGAACCCGCGAACAAACTTAGCTTTAAATCCAAATTTTTTCGCTTCAAAACCACCTGGCTTTGATGCATCAACCGTTCATCCCCCTCCTTAGGTAGGTCACCCGACCTCCTAGTCAATGCATCCGGCTTTGCCCCTTGTTTCCCTGGTCTAAATTGAATGACGAAATCAAAACGTGAAAGAAATTCCGACCAACGGGCTTGTCGACGGTTTAATAGCTTTGTTGACATGAAATATTCGAGGTTCCTATGATCGCTGAGGACTTCGATTGGAAATTGTGCCCCTTCCAAATGATGTCGCCACTCCTCAAAACATCGTACAATTGCCAGAAGTTCTTTGTCATAGATTTCGTAGTTGCATTCCGCAGGGGAATGCTTCTTTGAGAAGAAAGCAACTGGATGTAAAATTCCTTCATCATCACGTTGGGACAGGATTGCAGCAGAAACATAGTCGGATGCATCGGTTTCTACTACGATTTTCCGATTCGGATCAAAGTGCGCTAGTATGGGTGCCGTTGTAAACATCTTTTTCAATGTCTGGAATGCTTCCTCCCTTTCATCCGTCCATTCGAACTTAACATTTTTCTTCGTCAAAGCCGTAAGTGGAGCAACAATCTTTGAGTATCCTAGGATAAACCGTCGATAGAAATTAGCGAATCCCAAAAATACCTGAACATCATGAAGGTTCCTTGGTGTAGACCACTCCAAAACATCGACAACTTTCTTCGGATCCATTCGATTCCCATCCGGGGTGAGAATCAGGCCGAGATACTTTGTTTCCTGAACCATAAACTCGCATTTCTCAGGTTTAAGGTGAACATGATTCTCATCAAGTACCTTCAGAACCTTCTGAATATGCTCTTTGTGCTCCGACAGAGTCTCCGAATAGATCAGGATATCATCGAGATATGCCGTTACAAATTGATCGAGGTAAGGACGTAGAATATCATTGATCCAGTGTTGAAATGTGGCAGGGGCATTCGCTAATCCAAACGGCATTACAGTATACTCGAAATGTCCATAACGAGTCCTGAACGCCGTCTTCCATTCGTCTCCCTCGGCTACCCTGATTTGGTTATATCCCCAACGTAGATCCAGCTTGGTGTAGTATTGCGCTCTTGATAACTTGGCCAGGGTTTCCTTTAACAATGGTAACGGATACCGATTTTTGACCGTGATTGCATTGAGACCTCGATAATCTACACAGAGCCGGAGAGTCCCATCACTTTTCTTTACGAACAGTATGGGTGCTCCCGCTGGTGACTCACTGGCCCGAATAAATCCCTTAGGTAGATTTTCATCAAGGTATTCCCGTAGTGCTTTTAATTCAGTCTGCGACAGGCCATAGATGGGTCCATACGGTACTCGTTTACCCTCTTCCAAAATTATTTCAATGTCATGGGACGGTCGATGTGGCGGCAGGACAGAAGCGTCATATTCTTGGAACATATGGAGACGATGGTGGAACTCCTTTGGTACTAGTTGCTTGACGTTGGTAGTGGATTTATCAGCTGCTGAAACGACAACAGTATGATATTCTGGTAAGGGAATCGATACGCCATGAACAGTAACTGCAGTTCCACTGAGTGAACAGTGTTTAAGACAGTCCTGAGAATCAAAAACAAGTAGATTATCCTTTGGCCGAATGGTGACATCGTGACGTCGCATCCACGGTATTCCCATTACGATCGGATAATGTCCCAACTTTGTAACGAAACATGAGGCAATTTCTCGGTGACCATGAATATCTAGTGAAACATTGACAACGTGGGTAATTTCTCCTGACTGGATAGGTCTTCCATCCATAACATCTACCAGGCGAGATTTCTTAAGGGGGGTCATTGCAAGATTGTTGTTGCGTGCGAAAGATTCATCGATAAAAGCATATCCTGATGCTCCAGTATCAATAAGAGCGTAGGTGGAAACGAAAGAGTCGGGATTCTGAGAGACCGAACAGGTAACAACAAGAGAGTCTTCGGACATCTTATCTTCAGACACAGCAGCAACAGGGAGAACAGAAACAGGTGGCGGGGCTGGCCCCTTTGGTTTGCCATTTTTTACCAAAGGGGCTGACCTTTTAACGCCGGCTTTGAGGATCCATTTTCAAGTGGCCTTTCTCGCCAATTGCTAATGGAACGGGGATCTTGGGTGCGAGGAGTCAGGTAACGAGGCTTGGAGACATGGCGAGATTTAACTGTAGCGGTAGAAACGGAGATACGAGAACGAAGGTCAGCGATGGTGGCATTGGCTTGGGCCTCCCAGGCCTTTGCAACAGAGGTAATGTGAAGAATTTCATCTTCAGCATTAGCGAGGTTTTCGTCAGTGATGGCGAGGTTTTCCTGATGTAATGCCAGACGATACCGAAGCTCCTCCTCTTCGGCTTTAGACTCCTCCAGCTCAATCTTCAAAGCAACGATAACCTCGTCGCGACCTCGGATGATCTCGGTAGAACCTTCCTGGTTATCGCACAAGGTTTGCCAAAAATCGGCAGCCTTTTCGTTGGCTGCTTCTAGTTCTATGGTGAGGCTGGTAATAACCTCTTCCTGGGCCGTATCAATAATGGGTTCTGGTGGCGTGGGGGTGTCGAGAGGCTTGTTGAGAGCCTCCAAACACTCAGCAATAAGACCATGAGCCTCGGTAAGTTCTTCGCCGAAGTCTATATCGGCTGGAAGAGGACCATAGGTGATCAGAAATTCTGAAAGACGCTGTAACAGCGTATCCTGGATAATGTCGGACATAGTCGCGACCAGAGCTAAGCGAGGCGGTGTTGTATTGGTTGGCTGTAGAGGATGCAACCTAAGTGTAACGGGGACTGAGGACGTAGGAACTATGAAGCCAAGGAATACAACCGAGGCGAAGACGTGGACGTAGGAGGTTCGTAGACTATGGACTATGGACTATGGGGCCGAAGGGTACACCTAAGGCAAGAACGGGGACTGTGGACTATAGACTATGGATGGTTGTACCTGGTCTAGTATACCGGGTAAACCCTGTGACGTAGCGCGAACCAAATAGTATTCGTAACTGTGAAGTACAGAGGTTGCATAAAGAGAAAAGAGAAAGAAAGAGAAACAAGAAATCACGAGACAACGCCCCCCCTTATATATCCATACCCTATCCCAATGCTGACTCATACCCTCGCGTAACAGAAACAGAAAGAACATAATAGAAACCCGCTTTACTAAACCCAACCACACTGCATTATCCTTCTCCCTTATACCCAGACAACTCACATAGCCAACCCGTCTAGCTGCCGTTACACTGATCTGATTATATCCCCAACGTAGATCCAACTTGGTATAGTACTGTGCCTTCGAAAGTTTAGCCAAAGTTTCCTTTAACAGTGGTAACGGATACCGATTTTTGACCGTGATCGCATTGAGGCCTCGGTAATCCACACATAGCCGGAGAGTCCCATCACTTTTCTTTACGAATAGTATAGGTGCTCCTGCCGGTGATTCACTAGCTCTGATAAATCCCTTTGGTAGATTTTCATCGAGGTATTCCCGTAGCGCTTTTAATTCAATCTGGGACAGGCCGTATATTGGTCCATATGGAGGTCGTTTACCTTCCTCCAATACGATCTCAATATCATGGGACGGTCGATGTGGCGGCAGGACAGAAGCATCATATTCTTGGAACATGTGGAGACGATGGTGGAACTCCTTTGGTACTAGTTGCTTGACGTTGACGGTGGATTTCTCAACTGCTGAAACGATAATAGTATGATGTTCTGGTAGAGGGATCGATATTCCATGGACAGTGACTGCAGTTCCATTGAGTGAACAGTGTTTAACACAGTCCCGAGAATCAAAAACAAGTAGATTATCCTTTGGCCGAATGGTGACATCGTGCCGTCGCATCCACGGTATTCCCATCACGATCGGATAATGTCCCAACTTTGTAACGAAACATGAAGCAATTTCTCGATGGCCATGAATATCTAGTGAAACATCGACAATGTGGGTAATTTCTCCTGACTGGATAGGTCTTCCATCCATAACATCTACCTGGCGAGGTTTCCTAAGAGGGGTCATTGCAAGATTATTGTGACGTACGAAAGATTCATCGATAAAAGCATATCCTGATGCTCCAGTATCAATGAGAGCGTAGGTGGGAATGAAGGAGTCGGAATTCTGAGAGACCGAACAGGTAACAACAAGAGAGTCTTCGGACATCTCATCCTCAGACACAGCAGCAGCAGGGAGAACAGAAACAGGTGGCGGGGCTGGCCCCTTTGGTTTGCCATTTTTTACCAAAGGGGCTGACCTTTTAGCGCCGGCTTTGGGGACACATTTTCAATTGGCCTTTCTCGCCAATTACTAATGGTACGGGGATCCTGAGAGCGAGGGGACAGATAGCGAGACTTGGAGACATGGCGAGGTTTAACTGTAGCGGTGGAAACGGAGATACGAGAACGAAGGTCAGCGATAGTGGCATTGGCTTGGGCCTCCCAGGCCTTTGCAACAGAGGTGATGTGAAGAATCTCATCTTCAACATCAGCAAGGTTCTCGTCAGCGATGGCGAGACTTTCTTGATGTAGTGCCAGACGGAACCGAAGCTCTTCTTCTTCAGCCTTCGATTCCTCCAGCTCAATTTTCAGAGCAACGATAACCTCGTCGCGACCTCGGATGATCTCGGTAGAATCTTCCTGGTTATCGCACAAGGTTTGCCAAAAATCGGCAGCCTTTTCGTTGGCTGCTTCTAGTTCTATGGTGAGGCCGGCAATGACCTCTTCTTGAGCCGTATCGATAACGGGTTCTAGTGGCGCGGGGGTGTCAAGAGGCTTGGTGAGAGCCTCCAAACACTCAGCAATAAGACCATGAGCTTCCGTGAGTTCTTCGCCGAAGTCTATATCGGCTGGAAGGGGACCATAGGTGGTCAGAAATTCTGAAAGACGCTGCAACAGCGTATCCTGAGTGATGTCGGACATAGTCACGACCAGAGCTAGGCAAGGTGGTGTTGTATCGGTTGGCTGTAGAGGATGCAACCTAAGTGTAACGGGGACTATGAGCGTAGGAACTATGGGGCCAAGGAATACAACCGAGGCGAAGACGTAGACGTAGGAGGTTCGTGGACTATGGACTATGGGGCCGAAGGGTAGACCTAGGGCAAGAACGGAGACTATGGACTATGGATGGTTGTACCTGGTCTAGTATACCGGGTAAACCCTATGACGTAGCGCGAACCAAATAGTATTCGTAACTATAAAGTACAGAGGTTGCATAAAGAAAGAAGAGAAAGAAAGAGAAACAAGAAATCACAAGACAACGCCCCCCTTATATATCCATACCCTATCCCAATGCTGACTCATACCCTCGCATAACAGAAACAAAAAGAACATAATAGAAACCCGCTTCGCTAAACCCAACCACGCTGCATAATCCTTCTCCCTTATACCCCGACAACTCACATAGCCAACCCGCCTAGCTGCCGTTACATCGCTCCGTGCACAATTGAGTTGGTGTGCGAGCGCGGTGGTTCGAGGCCTAGGCATTATTTGTCATGTGTTGGTCGTCTTCGGGAACGGGTGTGGCTCCGACTGGGGTGGTAGCTGGTACTTGAACTATTGGGAGTAACTCTTGGGCAGGTGCGGCAGGTGGGTCTTGGGCGGGTAGGGCGTTTTCCTTTCCTTTGTTGAGGAATCGGCGTTTGACTCTTTCGGGGCACGCTGGGTCGGAGGCCTTATGGATTCCTTTGCAGTTCAGGCATCTGATTGGGGTGTGGGTGCATCTATATCCTCCCTGGCATTCATTGCATGGGTGGAAACTGGTGAGGTGATCTCCGGCGCAGTGGCCGCATTTCCCATTGTTCTTACATTTCTCCTGGCGGTGGCCGTACTCGAGGCATTTCGCACACTGGGTATCCGGGAAGGTTGGGAGGAAGGCCTCGATATGGCAGCTTCGGTTGAAGAGAGATAGGAATTTAACTCCTAGTGTTTCCATTGTAATTTGTCCTGGGAGCGCGATGACCATTGATGAGTGGGTTTTCTCCATTCGAGCCTCTGCCCTGGAGATCCAGCGGGGAACCTGGGCAAGTTGGAAGTTCTCTCCATAGTTGCTTCTGATTTCTGATGCTACCAATTGTCCCGCCTCGATACCCTCCCCGACCGTTGTGGGGATTCCATGGAGGAGAAACTTTGACCATTTAGAGTTTGCGCGGATGACAGCGACCGGTACCTGTAGGGTGAGGAGGGCCTCCTCAATTTCTTTGGCATATTCCATTGCCTTTGTTGCAGGGGTAACGAATTTTGTTTCCAAGATGAAGTTGTCCTTGGGTGTTCTTCTTGCTGAGATGAAATGACAGGACTCATCTTGGATTCTTGCGTTGACGAGGGTCCTGATCTCGGATGGGTTGACGTCGGATGGGGCAGTAGTTTCAACAATGATCTCCCTGTTGATTTTGGTGTACTCTGGTTTGAAGAGGGGGTCCGCTTTTGGCTTTGCGGACTTCTTTCTTCTCTCGGCAACCTGGAAATTTCCTTGAGCAGGACCGGGTGCCGAGGCCACGGTGGCCCAGGTGCCTGCCTTCCATCCACGGAGTGGGGCTTGTTGGGGGGGCTTGTTGGGGGGGCCTGAGGAGCTGCCTGTGGCGCTGCTTGGGGAACTGTTTGGGGGACCGCTGGAGGGGGCATTCTCTGTCCCTGCGGTTGTTGTGGTTTTCGCTGTTGTTGTTGTTGTTGGTGTTGTTGCGGATGCTGCGGTTGCTGCAGTTGTGGTTGTTTGTTGAGGAGGGCGTGGATCGCCGAGTGCATATTGGTGATCATGTTTGTCTGCGCCTCGATTTGATGTTTCAGTGTGTCCACTGTTCTCCGGAGAGTGATCGATTGTTCTTCGAGGTATTCCATCCTGTCGGAGGGTGGGCAGATCTGGCTGGTAGCATGTCTGATGGCCCAGGTAATGTAGTTTAAGTCTGTCTGGGTGTGAGTGGTATGGGGGACAGTACTCGGGTAGAGGTAGTCAATGCTCGGTTGGTAGGGGTCGTTGTAGTCAGATTCTTTTGCAAAGGTCGAGGAAAACTCCTGTTCCTGTGCTCCGGATGGGGTTGGGTTGGGATCCTGAGTGTTCCTGTTCTATGGAGGGGCTGTCCCTTGCTGGGAAGACTGGGTGAAAAAGGACTGGAGCGAAGCTTGCTGCGACATGACTGAATGTCCAGTTCTTCTGGCGGCGTAGAGTGATGTTTCGGATAAGTTTCTTTTCCTTCCTTTCGGGAGGTCAAGGCTGGAGAATTCTTCGCTAGAAGCCAGTTTTCGTAGGTTTCTTTCGCTTGGAACAACAAAACGCGACCGTACGATCGGGGACGGAGTGGCTCAGCCTGGTATGGTATACCAGGGTAAACCGAGAGGAATAAAATAAAATGTTTTTGAAGCGAGGTTAATTGTCAGGGAGTTCTTTGCGAGCCTTAGCGAGCAAAATGAATACAGAAGAAGAAGAAACTTATATTGCTTTGAAGTACAAGACTTATCGCACGCCGACCCAACCGCCTAAAACACAAATCGAACAACAAGAAAGAAAAGAAAACCAACAAACGCAAACGAACAAAGACAAAACAAAGCAAGCACAAACAACCACGAAACAATAACAGGGAAAATCCAGAACGACGCTCAGCCGGAAAGCCCAACGACAAGGAGAAATAACATATCTCAGCGGACTCGAGCGCTGGATCCATCAAAACAAAAAATAAAACCAAATTTAAAGAGTAAAAGGAAACTGCCCTTCCTAATCCCGTTCCTAATCATTTTCTTCCATCCCCTCTTCCAGGTCCGCCTCCGCCTCCGCCGACTCGTACCATTTTGAGAGTTGAGATTGTTTTGCAAATTGTAGGATAAGGTCCGTTCTCAGGTTTGTAAACATCCAGTTTTCCCAGGTCATCACTCCGGGGATCTTTTCTATCAGAGGGATGCGGATTCGAGCCCACGCTGGGCATTCCATTAGTATATGTTTCGCTGAGTTTTCCATGCGACACTGGCATGGTTCGGGGTCTGTGTGTACTGCGTGTTTGTCGATTCGGGTGGTTTGGCACCGGATTCGAAATACTTTTTTTGCTTCCGTAAGGGTGAGTTTCGCTATCTTAGGAGGGGAGCGGAATTCCCCCCGATGGTGGTAGTTCGGTATTGATTGTGTGTTCCATTCTTCCAACAGGTGGTCGCGTAATAGTTTATTTTGGTTCCACTTATCTCTCGCATTTCCGGGGGTCTGGTATGGGAGTAATAGGGAGGCGATTCGGTGCAAGCCTGTTCCTTTGATGTTTGCTTCTCTGTATGGGAGGAGCTCGATCAGGGATTCATTGTTGGGGTGGGTTGCTTCGGTGCAGAGTATTCTGGTTCCGTACTTTCTTGAGCGATATGTCAGGAGATGTTCTAAGGGGGGTAGGCCTGCTTCTCGGAGGAGTTTAGCTCTTTTGGTCCATCGTGGTAGGCCGGTGATGATCCGGGCCGCTTCGTTATATAGTGGTTCAAGGGATCTTATGATGTGGTCTGCACCACTCCACCAAGCTTCGGATCCGTATAGTAGACTTGGGAGGAAGCCCTGTGTTATGATGTGATGGATTGTTTTAACGGTTATTCCTGGCAGGCGGGCGGTATATCGAATCTGGTGGAGGGCTTTAAGGCCTTTTGCGATCGCTGCTTCGATGTGGGGCCGGAAGGAGAGGGTCGGATCTATCCAGACTCCTACATATTTCAGCCTCTCCTTGGGGTGTATATTGATATTGTTAATTTTGACCGGGAGTCGTGGTTGTTGTGTGGATGATGTGGTGGGCCGGAAGAAAATCAGGTCGGATTTATCCGGGTCGTATTTGATTTGGAGTGGCTCAGCTTTTATTAATCTCTCTCTCATTCGTTCCTCCATTCTCTTGATTGTGAAGCCTGGTGTTTTGGATATTTGCACCAGCGCATCGTCATCAATATATGTGGTGTCCATCTCTTTCGGGCTGCTTGTTGGGTCCAGGATTACTCCAGCATAGATCATAAATAGTACCGGGGACATGGGGCTACCTTGCGGCACTCCAGAATCATAGGGCTGTGGTTCCTCTAGCTCATGGTTGAATTGGAACTGTAGTTTTCTGCCGGTATTGAATTCCATGCACCATTCTGTTAAATAAGTAGGGAATTTTTGTTGTTGCATGATTTCCGCGAGGAGTAGGTGGTCGACACAGTTAAATGCTCCTTGGATATCGTTGGTTAGGATCGCTGGTCTGTCTCGCCGAGCGATTCCGGTACTGTTTTTCAGTAGTAAGTTTTGTTGTATTGGTGTTAAGGTTCTCAGGAGGGCGTCAATTGCCGAAATGGTTGGTCTTCCTCCAAATTGATTCGCTGAGAGTGTACCTAGGATTTCTCCAGCGGTGCAAAGTCTCTGAGCCACTATCTTCTCCAGGATTTTGCTGAAGCATTGTAGAAGGGAAATGGGCCGATAGGCTTTTGCTTCATGATAGTTTGCTTTGCCGGGTTTCGGGATCGGGATGCACTTAGCTATTTTCCATTCCGCTGGGTGCACTCCGTGCCGGAGCATCGCGGAGAACATGTCTTGAATTAGGGTTGTGTTTGCTCGCACTATTGCTTTAATAAAGGTATAGGGGATGCCGTCCGGGCCGGTCGCCGAGTGCGCTGGGCAGGAGTCGATTGCTTTATTAAGTTCTTCGGGGGTGACTATGTCGAAGGTGTTGCTAAGGTCAAAAGAGGGGGGCCTGATGTTTAGGGGGGGATGGTCGGGGGACGTCCGTTTTGAGGGGAAAAGTTGGGCTCTTAGAGCTTGGCACTTCCCCGCAAACGTTTCTTCACCTTGTATTGTTGGTATGATCGTGTCTCTCCTCCTTCCTGCATTTAGGATTCTCCAGACCTCACTACCTTTCGCCTCGTTCATCGTCTTTTCCCGCTGGTCCGCTTTTGCTTTCCGGATCATGACTGTCCATTCTCTGCATGCCTTCCGGTGCTCCTCCACGTGGTTGGGTTTCTTTGTATTTTTCGCCTTCCTTTCTGCCGCGTTTACCCTTGCCTTCATTTGTTTCATTTCCTCTGACCACCAGGAGTTGGCTCTTACCCCCTCCTTCGAGAGTGGTGTTACTATACTGATTGTTGCCCTGATCAGTTCTAGGAAGAAGTCGACAGTTTGTTCCGTATGTTCCTTGGTTTCCCATGCCTCTGCGGGGAGGGAAATGTTTGACATATGGTTCTCCAATAGCTTCCAGTCTGTTTGTCGCCACATCCGTCTTGGTACAAATGGTGGTTTTTCCAGGTGTAAGTGAACGGAGGTTCTCCCGTGGTCTGAGCCCGCTCCATAGGGTTCCGTGCTCCATCGTAGGTTATGGTCGAGAGTTGGGCCTTTTACAAATGTAAGGTCGATGATTGTAGGCCTTTTTCCTCTGTCTCTGGGGAAGTGCGTAAAGACGCCTGGTTCATTCAGGAGGGTCAGTCTCTGTCGAGTTATCCATTGTTTTAGCCGTGCACCGTTGGCGCGGTCTGCTCGGATGTTGTTCCTGTATTCATGTGATGTAACTCCGTACCACATTTGATGATGGCAGTTGAAGTCTCCCATTACTAGACAGTTGTCGAGGGTTTGGATTGTTTTTGCTATTTGGGCAAAGGGGCCACTTCGGCCTGGGGAGTATATATTTAGGATTTGGGTTTTCTTGTGCTGGATTTCTACAGTAATCGATACTATGAAGTTATCGTGTGTGTAGTGGTGTTTTGGTTTAAGGTTGGCATGTTTGCGGACGTATGTTGCGCATTTTGTATTGGTGTTGCTGGCTGTAAAAATATAAAAGAGATTTGATTCTGGTGGGTATCCCTCTGCTGAGGTCCATGGTTCTTGTAATAAAAGGAAATAAATGCTAGAGTCTGTTTCCGCTTCTTCTACCGCCGCCTTGGTAATAGGTTCGCTCCGTGCACAGTTAAGTTGGTGTGCGAGCGCGGTGGTTCGGGGCCTAGGCATTATTCGTCATGTGTTGGTCGTCTTCGGGAACGGGTGTGGCTCCGACCGGGGCGGTAGCTGGTACTTGAACTATTGGGAGTAACTCTTGGGCGGGTGCGGCAGGTGGGTCCTGGGCGGGTGGGGCGGTTTCCTTTCCTTTGTTGAGGAATCGGCGTTTCACTCTTTCGGGGCACGCTGGGTCGGAGGCCTTATGCATTCCTTTGCAGTTCAGGCATCTGATTGGGGTGTGGGTGCATCTATGTCCTCCCTGGCATTCATTGCATGGGTGGAAACTGGTGAGGTGATCTCCGGCGCAGTGGCCGCATTTCCCATTGTTCTTGCATTTCTCCTGGCGGTGGCCGTACTCGAGGCATTTCGCACACTGAGTATCCGGGAAAGTTGGGAGGAAGGCCTCGATATGGCAGCTTCGGTTGAAGAGCGATAGGAATTTAACTCCTAGTGTTTCCATTGTAATTTGTCCTGGGAGCGCGATGACCATTGATGAGTGGGTTTTTTCCATTCGAGCCTCTGCCCTGGAGATCCAGCGGGGAATCTGGGCAAGTTGGAAGTTCTCTCCATAGTTGCTTCTGATTTCTGATGCTACCAATTGTCCCGCCTCGATGCCCTCCCCGACCGTTGTGGGGATTCCATGGAGGAGAAACTTTGACCATTTAGAGTTTGCGCGGATGAGAGCAACCGGTACTTGTAGGGTGAGGAGGGCCTCCTCAATTTCTTTGGCATATTCCATTGCCTTTGTTGCAGGGGTAACGAATTTTGTTTCCAAGATGAAGTTATCCTTGGGTGTTCTTCTTGCTGAGATGAAATGACAGGACTCGTCTTGGATTCTTGCATTGACGAGGGTCCTGATCTCGGATGGGTTGACGTCGGATGGGGCAGTAGTTTCAACAATGATCTCCCTGTTGATTTTGGTGTACTCTGATTTAAAGAGGGGGTCCGCTTTTGGCTTTGCGGACTTCTTTTTCCTCTCGATGACCTGGAAGTTTCCTTGAGCAGGACCGGGTGCCGAGGCCACGGCGGCCCAGGTGCCTGCCTTCCATCCACGAGGTGGGGCTTGTTGGGGGGGTACGGGTGGGGGGGCCTGAGGAGCTACCTGTGGCGCTGCTTGGGGAGCTGTTTGTGGGACCGCTGGAGGGGGCATTCTCTGTCCTTGCGGCTGCTGTGGTTTTCGCTGTTGTTGCTGGTATTGCTGTTGTTGCGGTTGCTGCGGTTGCTGCGGTTGTGGTTGTTTGTTGAGGAGCGCGTGGATCGCCGAGTGCATATTGGTGATCATGCTTGTCTGCGCCTCGATTTGATGTTTCAGTGTATCTACTGTTCTCCGGAGTGTAGTCGTTTGCTCTTCGAGGATTTCAATCCTGTCGGAGGGTTGGCAGATCCGGCTGGTGGCATGTCTGATGGCCCAGGTGATATAGTTCAGGTCCGTCTGGGTATGAGTGTCCTGGGGGACAATGCTCGGGTAGAGGTAGTCAACTCTCGGTTGGTAGGGGTCGTTGTAGTCGGATTCTGTTGCAAAGGTCGAGGAGAATTCCTGTTCTTGAGCTCCGGATGGGGTTGGGTCGGGAACCTGGGTGTTCCTGTTCTGCGAGGGGGCTGTCCCTTGCTGGGAAGACTGGGTGAAGAAGGATTGAAGCGAAGCTTGCTGCGACATAACTGAATGTCCAGTTCTTCTGGCGGCGTAGAGAGATGTTTCGGATAAGTTTCTTTTCCTTCCTTTCGGGAGGTCAAGGCTGGAGAATTCTTCGCTAGAAGCCAGTTTTCGTAGGTTTCTTTCGCTTGGAACAACAAAACGCGACCGTACGATCGGGGACGAAGTGGCTCAGCCTGGTATGATATACCAGGGTAAACCGAGGGGAATAAAATAAAATGTTTTTTGAAGCGGGGTTAATTGTCAGGGAGTTCTTTGCGAGCCTTAGCGAGCAAAATGAATACAGAGGTTGCGTAAAGGAAGAAGGAAGAAGAGAAAACAAGTAAAAGCACGAAGCAACGCCCCCTTATATATCCAACCATAGTCCAATGATGACTAATACCTCCGTGTAACAGAAACTAAAAGAACATAACAGAAATCCCCATTACAAATCCTAATCCCACTGCACAATATCTTTTCATCTCGTACCAATCTATTACCTAGCCGAAATACATAGCTGCCGTTACAGACTTTGGGCATATTTGGATCATCATCTGGGGCAAAAGGTTTTTTTGTCTGCCATTGGGCTTGAGTACCGAGTAGCTGTAATTCTCACCAATGCTCATGTTTGTTTATATGGATTTCAAGTGTCTAGTTATTTTGAGTGCAAGCCCCCATCCCTTGAAAATTATTTAAATCGAAATGTTTAATTTCCTTTCTGTTTTTCAATAAGATCTCCTAAAGCCTTTTCAATCCTACCGATACTATCCTTTAGAGCCTTTATCTCTTCATTTATCATTCCCTCGTCCGCATTTTTTTTTTTTTTTTTCCCTCCAGTACGGACCAGTGGGCGAACCGCAGCCCTTTTTAAAAATTTTCCTTCCTTATCTTGTACCTCTTCTGCCTTTCTTTTTCCTTCTGTCCGGGTTTTTTTTCTCTCCTCAGATTTTTCCCAATCGTTTGAAATTCTCTCTAGGGCTCCTTCTAGAGAGACCCGCTGCTCTTCTGTTACAAAGAACTTATCGTCCTTCTTTGAGTTGTGGTGTATGTCAAGTAAGGCTAAAGTCCTTCTCCTAATATAATGTCAATCTTTTTCCATAAACATGCCCCGGTCCTGAAGATCTAGAGCAATCGCCTTCCATGCTTTTGTAACCTCCCTGTAAGAGGAATCCCAAGGTTTCGCCCTATAAACAGCCCATACCAATTCCTGGGTCTCATGATTAGGTTGTGAACTTACCCAGCATCTGCTGCGCAACCACTAACAAAAGAAGAGAATGAAGGCAAGGACATGGCAGAATGAGGACAGTTACAGAAAGGTCAGCGCTGTTTTTAACCCATGAAAGCGGTCACTCACCATTTCGTCACAGCTATAAGTGTCAAGTCCGTCACCCGCAACCGTCAACCCTGAAGCCCGCAACCGTCAACCCCTAAGTGTCAAAAGTCCGATTCGACACTTGGTAAATACGCTCTTTTACGCCTTAACACAATATCCGGCCGTAATGTCAAGACTCTATTACACCATTTGTATAAAGCTTTCTCTACTGTAGGTGCTAGCTTCTAATGGGATTTATCTGCTGCCCACCGATTCTTTTGATCGTTAAAAGTGTTATTGAACGTTGAGGCTGGTATAATAAATTCATTGCATATCATTACCTGTTTGGTTTTTTACAGTTCAGTTTTTTTGGCTAGGGTGCAGTGAATGCGGCTTTTTATTTCCTGCACTGAAAGGGATCCAACTTGCGACTTTACTCTCTCATATTGTTGTTGATTGTTATTCTAAAGATTTCTCAAGCGGGGTCGGCCTGTATTTTTTTGGTACTGATTAGACATTCGACTTTCGAGTTGTATTTGGTTTCACCGTGATCTATATATGAGAGACTCCTGTTACAATCTCAAATATAATTTGGGATTTGTTTGAATTCATTTTATTTATGGTACAAAATTTAGAATTCATTTTATTACAATAATAATTTAAGACTATTAAGGGCGCGTTCGGGAACAGCTTGAAAACGTAGTTTTCAAAGGTCAAAACGGAGTTTTGAAGGAAATTCCCTTTGCTGAAAAGTGAGTGTGTTCGACATCCCACTCCAATACTCCGTTGTGATCACTTAACAGAGTTTCAACAGAGAAATCTCTGTTAAGTCGAAAGGTAGGTAGGACCTACTTTTCAAGCCTCCGTTAACAAAACTCTCTCCTCTACTAGCACCAACAGTTCTCAGAACACACCACGAAAAATATTTACAGTGAAGAGTATATATATTCTTTCCGTTATGCTATTAGAATTTTTTTTAAATAATAGTAAAAAGAAAAATATTATTGCAACCAAAAAGGCGTTTCGCCTAATCAGCGGTGCCGAAGCCACAAACATTTTTGCAATTGTTGTCAAAACTCCGTTTCCAAATTTTCAGGTTAATAGTGTTTTGCTAAAACGGAGTTTTCACTTGGAGGTGTTCCCGAACACGCCCTAATAAGATAGTAAAACTGAATCAATAGCACATCTTTTTATTGATACCGTATTACTTAAATTACGCTGAAAAATAATTCTCTGTAATTCAAGAAAGGAAATTAAAGTTTAACAGTATTTTCTATAAGCTCTAGAGTAGATAAATAATTCCTCATCATTTTTCGAATGCCTTTAGTAGCGTGAGACAGAGCCATTTCACAGAAGACATTAAATTACATACTCCCAAGGGCCGTTCAGCTGCAACAACCGTTGGTCTTTATTCTCACAACAATCCAGAACCACAAAATTACCCAAAGTCGCCTAGTGAGTTCAGTTTATCGAGTAGCCACGACACCCGAACGGGCTCTAACTTAATACATAATGAGCGAATACTAACACCGTTGAGCAGAGTACAGCTATTCCTGATAATTCGAAAGACAGCAAATCATCTTTGCAGTAGTAAAAATCGTACCATTAGTACGGGATAGGGAGTAATCTCGTAGGTAGGTACATACATCCATACGTTCCCCTGTGGTTTCATCTACGCGTCCGTAACTCTACTTACAACTTTTTTTCAAATACCTAGCTGTTCGCATTCATACATACTCCTGAGACACATTATACCCCTCAGACTCTACCACCTACCTATCGCTCCAAACTGAGCGATACCTGATGGCATCAGGTAGCAACACATACAAACCATCTTCTTCTGAGCCGATACCCCTACAAGACCTGTCTCGATCCCGGAGAGACAGAGATAGAGGTAGAGATGGATACGAAGATGCTGGCATGAGCCCTAGCTCCTCGCGCTCGCGTTCTCTATTGCGTGGAGGAAGCTTAGGAGCAGAAATCGGTCGGAGGATATCGACACACAGAGCAAGAAAGAGCTACGATAGGGTTCGGGAGGATAGCCCACCACAATTTTCTCCACCACCGGTGCCAACGATTCCCGATTTACAGGTCCCACACTACGAAATCGGGGAGCAATCGGATCTTCCATCAATCGTTGAAGTTAGACAGGGATTTACAGAGGCATTGGGGAATGAGATTCATAGAGGTAGCTGGCTACCAAGACGAAATGCGAATGAACCACTGTCTCCATGGGTTGCTGCGGACGACGACGAACTTCCGGGAACAATTCCTAGCTTCGAGATGCACAGGGAGGATGATACTGCCTATCTCACCGAGCCGGCAAACATGCAACCGATAAGTGGCTTTTCAAACCACAGAAAACATTTATCTAGCCACTCCGTAAAGTTTGCTCCGGGACCTTCTTTAGGGGAGGATCTGCATTCTGCAGCAGAGGAAGGCCTAGGAGGCGGGGCCCGGTCTAGATCTGGCTCAGTTGCCTCGAGATCTGGCTCATTAACGAAGGGCCGCTCGTTATCGCCTGGGACTTCGCCTGTCCGGCGAGTATCAGTTGCTGTTCAGAATATGGCCCAACGAGTAGTCAATGTAAGTAATGATCCAGAGGCTATAGAGCAAACTTTACGCCGCCGTAGCTCTTCAAAATCTCACCGCGATGCGCCGGGGCGACCTTCTGTTCCTGCCATTGAAATTCACCAACTCGATGATACCGAGCCCTCGGACCAAGAGGAAAAGCCCACTACACCCCTTAGAAATTTCAACCGTCCAGACAACCGTCCATGGCATTTCCAGTCCAACCCTCTCAAGGGAAGGACATTTCGCACATTTGGCCCGAATAATCCTATCCGACTCTTCCTTTGTGATATTTTGGTTCATCCGTAAGCCCCTTTTGAAAAGTGGACTTGTAAGGCTGTAGCTGACTAGCTATTAGAATGGCGGAACCTTTGATTTTGCTGCTGATCCTGATACAAACAATCCTGCTTACCATTGATGCAGCACCTAGTGTTTACAACGACCCTCGTGCCAAGAGCTGGGGTACTTCAAATATTGATTATGCTTTACTTGTCTTATTTGTTATATACACGTATGTGGGCCACAGTTTGACTCTGAAGAGGTTCTAACAGGTATTAGTCTAGAAATTATTGCACGTATGATAGTCTCAGGGGTTTTTTTGAACCCCCACCAGGAGAACGATCCTAGAGGGAGAGGCAATGTTCGCCGTCAACTTTTCGCAAGGGGTAAAGAACTGTTTTCTCCAAAGAGAAGTCAATCCGTCAGGGCTCCCTCGCCTGCCCGACCTGACGACCCTCCATCCTTATTAAGAACAATCACCACCAATTTCCAGTTCGATGGCGGACCAACAACTGTTCAGTCTCTTGCTCGAAATCGCATGGCACGGCGTGCATTTCTTCGTCACTCCTTTAACCGACTAGATTTTGTTGCGGTTGTTTCACATTGGATATCTCTGTACCTTTGTATCACTGGTTTGGAGGCGGAAAAACATTTGTATGTTTTCCGAATGATGAGCTGCTTACGAATATTACGATTACTTGGAATTACTAGTGGTACTTCGGTAATTCTACGAAGCTTGAAAAAAGCCGCACCTTTGCTGGTGAATGTGGCACTACTCATTGGATTTTTCTGGCTTATATTTGCAATAATTGGAGTACAAAGCTTTAAAAGTTCACTCAGGAGAACATGCGTTTGGGTAGACCCTGAAGGCGTACAGGGTAATTACACACAGGATTTTCAGTTCTGCGGGGGGTATATCGATGCGTCTACAGGCCTTGAGTTACCATATGTCTACACTGACGGCACGTCAGGAGCCAAAAAGGCCAAAGGATATATCTGTCCTGTGAATTCCCTCTGTGTTGCTGATGTTAATCCATATGGTGGAACTGTCAGCTTTGATAATATCATTCAGTCATTCGAATTGGTATTTGTGGTCATGAGCGCAAATACATTTTCTAGTCTGCTTTACTACATGGCTGATAGCGATTATCTCACAGCTGCCTTATGTAGGTGAGCTTTATGGCATTGAAGAGGAGGCTACTAACACTTGTGCTTTAGTTTTTGCTTTCGGGATTGTTATTTTAGCGTTTTGGCTGGCAAATCTCGTAAGTGTAACAAGTTTGCACAAGAAAGTACATTCTAATTGAGTGATAGTTGATCGCCGTTATCACAACCTCATTCCAAGTAATTCGAGAAGAGTCAAGGAAGTCTGCGTTTGCGGCCGAGGATGAGTAAGCAATCTCACAAAGCTCTTGTAAAAAGTAATCTGACGGTCTCCAGTGATGGGCTAAATAAGGACGACGTGATCAAAGTGAAAGAAAAGAAGAGCTTTGTGAAAAGGGTTTATGAGGGCACTCGACTGTTTTGGATTACAGTTATTGCAATCGGCCTTTTTTCTTCCACTTTCCGCAGTTCTTCTATGAGTAAAGATAGGGAGATATTAATTGGTGCGTTTCATACTAGTCTTGACTACAGAACCCAAGGCTGACGATATAGAAGACCGTGTTGAGCTTGGAGTTACTGTTATTCTTTCGGTTGAGATAGTGCTTCGATTTCTATCTGATTGGCGTGGCTTTCGCAGAAGCAAACAAAACTGGGCGGATCTTGCCTTGGTTGTGATTACCTGCATAATTCAACTTCCACCAATTCACAATTCCGGAAGGGTCTATGAATGGCTTACATTGTTTCAAATCCTTCGGGTGTATCGAGTCGTCTGGGCGATTCCTGCCACCCGGAATCTCCTGGTGAGTTTTATCTGGTATTTTGATAGATTCTGCGCTAACAATGAACATCTTTCTAGTCGAAAGTTATTGGTAACGTGTCTGGATTGACTAACTTGATACTATTTGTACTACTCCTTACATTCCTATGTGCTCTATTTGCGGTCCAGATTGTTCGAGGAGACTTGCCTGCAGAATATCAAGGTGAAACATCACCTATAACGTTCAACACGATATTCAATGCTTTCTTGGGCATGTACGAAATATTTTCCAGCGAAAACTGGACGGGGATCTTATACATGGCTACTGATGTCCAGTCACAATATAACGTTGGATGGATTACTGCCACATTTTTGATTGGCTGGTTTATTTTGGGAAATTGTGAGTGAATATCTATTTATACTGGTTTGCTCTATTTCTAACAAGTCTAAGTTATTGTGTTGAACATGTTTATTGCTGTCGTTCAAGAGAACTTTGACGTGACAGAAGATGAAAAACGAATATATCAAGTCAAAGCATTTCTACAGAACAAAGATTATTCAGCTCCAACCCAAGGAATATCTTTATCTAGTATTTTTGGCGGGAAAAAGCGCCCCAAGGACCCTCATTCACGGCAAGCTGCGTTCGAAATGTTGACAAAACAAGCTGTTGTCGAATCATTTTTGGATGAAGGACAGATTCACAGCCGTCAGGTATGTAATCGCGGAAGTATTACAAAACACATCCATCTAATTTTGTGAAGCCTCTTACACGGGCTGCCGCCATCGATTTCTCCGCAGCTGTAGATAATGTGAATGCCGAACAAAAAAGGAGACACAATCCATTCAAAAAGCTGCACGACAAAATCGTTAAATTGTTCCAAGGAGATAAGGAGCCAAATCCATTCTATTCTTTCCAGTATGATTTGCAATTGAGTGTAATGATAAAGCCTTTTGGGCTAACTGAGGTATAGGACTCGATCTGTTGCGAATCTCGCACCAACTGCGATGGCCCAGGAAGTCGTGATGGAGGCAGAACAGCGAAAGAAGGCCCAACGGGAGTACCTGAGGAAGTACCCGAACTACAATGTCTCTTTATTCATTTTCACGCCCTCAAATCCCCTGAGACGCCTTTGCCAACGAATGGTAGGGCCTAGTCGGGCACATATACGTTATGACGGATTACCGCCGTACACACCTTTCAGTTATGCCTTCTCCATCATTGTGTATTGCGCAATAGTTGCTATGGTTATCATTGCCTGCGTGACAACTCCACTTTACCAAAAACAGTACTTTGAAACCTATGGCAGTTCACTCAAAAATTGGTTTACTTTTTCCGATCTCGGCTTCGTTGCACTCTTCACCATTGAGTCGACTATCAAGATCATCGCAGATGGATTAATCTGGACCCCAAATGCCTACCTTCGGGGATCATGGGGTGTTATTGACTGCGTAGTCCTTGTAACCCTTTGGATTAGTGTCGGAACATCCCTACAAAATCAAGGCGAGATTTCTAGATCTGTTGGAGCTTTTAAGGCTTTGCGTGCTCTACGTCTACTTAATATATCCGGCAGTGCACAAAATACCTTCCATTCAGTTGTCATTGTTGGTGGCAAGAAGGTTCTTTCCGCTGCCTTCGTCTCCCTCAGTTTGATTATTCCATTCGCCATTTACGGCGTCAATCTTTTTGCTGGGCTAATGGATAGTTGCAATGACGGGTCCAGCGACATCACAAATCTGTCAGATTGTGTTCATGAATATGCTAGCACACCATTTCAGTGGGATGTTTTAGCACCACGGGCAGTAGACAACCCATATTTTAACTTTGATAACTTTGGAAGTTCATTATTTATCCTCTTTCAAATTGTATCTCAGGAAGGATGGACGGGTGTGATGTTTAACGCTCAAAGCATTGTTGGAAGAGGTTTGCCGTAACAAGTATCAATAGTCGAAAAGGTCGTCATGGCTGATAAATTACAGGTCAACAACCTCAGCCGTTTGCATCTGATGTGAACTCCATCTTTTTTCTTGCTTTTAACTTGCTTGGTGCCGTCTTCGTCTTGGTAAGTAACGATTTCTCTCGCATATAATCATGGAGCTAACTTTAGTAGACATTATTTGTGTCGGTTTTCATGCGCAATTATACAGAACAAACCGGGGTTGCATTCTTAACTTCCGAACAAAGATCATGGCTAGAGCTCCGGAAGTTACTCCGTCAAATCCGTCCCTCAAAGCGCCCCAATAAAGGCTCCAGCTCCTCGTGGAAGAATTGGTGCTACGACCGTGCTACACATAAGCATGGATGGTGGCAGAGAGCGCTGACTGTCGTATTAATCTTCCATGCCGTGCTTTTGCTCATTGAATATCATCCAGCACCGCCTGGACTAGACCGTGTTAGAGGTAAGCGCCCTCCTTTGATGACTGTATGTTAGATTATCAACAAAGACTGATTGATTGTGTAGACTGGATATTTTTGGGATTTACATTTATTTTCGTCCTCAACCTGGTTATTAGAGTGATAGGGTTGACATGGAGCAATTTCTTGAAGAGTAGATGGGACATCTATGCGTTGATGTCTGTGAGTGGCACGTCGATCACGACTGTGCTTCTTCTAGCCGGATACGAAGAACGCACATTCATACAGCTCCAAAAGCTTTTCCTGGTTTCGGTAAGATATTCTTCATTGTTTATCTATCCTTGAGCTGACATTTGATCAAAGATTCTGATGATGTTGATTCCACGGAACGATGACCTTGATCATCTGTTCAAAACGGCAGCGTAAGTCAAGCTATGATTTAGACTAAGCTTATTTTCTAATGCATTCGTTGATCTAGAGCATCTTTGACAGCAATCGGTAGCTTGATGGCTACGTGGTTTGTTTTGTTTTTAGTCTATGCCATTGCATTCACACAAACCTTTGGTAGGTTTCGATGCACAGGTTTGTTTCAAATGATAACATAAAACTGACATTCCATAGGTTTAACAAAGATTGGTCCAAACGGAAATGGAAATATGAACTTCAGAACTGTCCCTAAGGCATTAATTTTACTGTTTGTGATGACTTGCGGGTGAGCTTAATCAAATATTCTTTTTGGGAGACGTGCAAGTTTCTGAGACAACCTAGTGAAGGATGGAATCAGGTCATGAGCGACTACGAGGTTACAGTTCCTATGTGTGTTCGTGGCGACAGCTTTTACGACAGCGATTGCGGGAGCCAAGGATATGCGCGCGCATTGTTTGTCTCATGGAATATCATTAGCATGTATATCTTCGTGAGCATGGTACGTAACCCAATTTCTGTCGACAATGTGTTTGCCTAACGGACCCATTAGTTCATCTCCCTTATTTTCGAGAGCTTTAGTTACGTCTATCAACGGTCAGGGGGCTCCTCTGCAGCGTCTAGGGCGGAGATAAGAAAATTTAAGGAAGCTTGGCAAAGGTTTGATCCAGAGGGTACAGGATATATTTCCAAGGAATACTTTCCCCGGTTATTAGGGGTAAGAAAATATGCCAATATCAAAGAATAACATGCATCTTGCTAACATTCCTATCAGACTTTGACCGGAATATTCGCAATGAGAATATATGAAGAGCCTTTTACAGTCCACGAAATATTAAGGAAAGTCCGTGTGGAGCAAAGAAGTAGTACTGGGCGCACGCCGAGAGTTGTAGAAGGCGTTAACCTCGACACTTTGAATAAGTGTATTGCGGAAATACCGAAACAGAAAATCCAGAAGCAGCGACAAATCTATACTCTTTTCTACGAGGAATGTCTTGTATCAGCTGATAAGGATTATGGCGTTGAGTTTGGCACTGTCCTATTGGTTTTGGCTCATTACAAAATTATCAACGATAACAAAAGCTTAAAGTAATTTTGCACTACTTACCACATAATTTGCTCATATTCTAACATGGAATAGACTAGAGGAGTATCTACGCCGCCGTTTCAGACTGCAAAGGGTGGAAGAGCAGATCCAACGAAATTGCGTCAGAAATTTTTTCTTAACACTGTGAGAGTTTATGAGTCTTGTTCCCTTCTTGTGCCAAATGTCTAATGGTATTCAGGTATTGGTCCAAGAGGTTCAAAAATCGCGTAAGAGCAAGGATGTCTTCCAGAAAGGCACTTGGGATCAATACCCAAGTTCCCGAAATATTCGTCGATGACGGGAGCTCCCACCAGACTAGTAGTCCGCTTGTTCCTAAAATATTGGTAGACGATGGAGAAATTCCTGCCACTTCTAGTACTTCGTCAGCAACTACTCCAAGAGAAATATCTCCCACCCCAATCAGGCAAGTACCACCTCCGCTGGATTTGAGCGGCGAGTCTTTCAATTTCAATGAACCAATAACCACTTTTGGATCATCATCTGCCGCACAATTCAGCAACTCTGATCCGTTTGCGTTTGGGTCGCCATATTCAATGGAGGAATCTCCGTCAATCCTCAGACAAAGACCTGGTAGAGGAATAAACTCCGATCTCTCACCCTCAGGAAGCCCGACTGGCGGTAGTCCAAATATGAGCCCTAGTATAAGCCCGGTTGCAAGTCCGCGTCTGGGACCACTAGGAGGAGGCTTGGTGCGCACCGGGTCCGGGAATGATAGCGCTTCTCGCTCACGGCAAGGTAGTGAAGTGATGTCGCAAAATGTGTTGGAGGTTCTTCAATCGTCGGAGTGGGGCGACCAAATTCGCTCGTACATTGAAAGCCGATCGGGAAATAACTCTCCTACTAATCAGGGAGGCCCGCGTAGTCCTCGCTAGGTCGCCGTCAGAGAGAATTTGATAATATTTGTTGAGTTTATACTCTCTCTAGGATAAGGGATTTACTAGGCTAGCAGAAAGATAGCAACGGGCGGATAAAATAGATTTCTTAATCTAGGCAGGTATTATTAGTTTTGGGCTTCTTTGCTTGTCTCTGCATAGTCATAAGCACAAGCGGAAACCGCAGTACTTCCCAAATTGTAGCGGTTCTTATTCCTAATGTTAAATGAATATTACCCTGCAACTGTGCACAGCTTGTCCTGTAATAATTGTTTACAATATTATCCCTTGGTATGTTTTCACCACCGAGCGCGATTTACTATCCCACTTCACAAGGCTATCCCATCTTATACGGCTGTCGATCTCCCCAAGCAGGAAATCGGGGCTTCCGGAAGAGGTAAAGACAGAACCAGAGGAATTATAGAAATACTTAGAGTGGTTTTGATATATCAAAAGTTTCAGAAGCTGCAAACAATTAATGAATTATAAATCAATCAATCATATCAAGGCAAAATCGGCCGTACCTCGAAAAAGATAGGATAAAATCATACTTTGTAACCCTTTTTCTACATGCAGCCAAGACTTGGCGATATTACTATTAGGGATATCAGATAGTGGTGCCGAAGGCGAAAATGGATTGGAGCGAGTGAGAGTTAAGTTTGCAAGAGGTAAAATTAAACATAGGCTTGGCGCAGAAATTATCCGAGTGCCATCTCATGATCCGAAGAGGTGTTCGTCAGGGCGTAGGCTCTAGCAGCGTGATTTTGATTTTCGGAAGGAATGTGGCCTAATAAAAGCATTCTTCTGAGTAGGCCCCGTCCATCAGTGAAGAAATAAGGAGTAACGATTGCGACTGCGGCAAGGGCTCCATGAGATATCACTCGGTCAGAGAAAGATTGCTAAGATTGTTTGTGGATGAGGAAATATGGAGATAAAAGACGATTCACCAGACTTGGTTGCATAGCGTCTACTCGGCAACGGAAGAATCGAGGAATTTGGGTTTAAAAGATTTCCAACATGCGCGGGAGATCTGGTGGGTATTGATCGATTTGATTGATTATTAATGGATGATATTTACTCAAGTGTTCGCCCGCAACGCAACCAACCCCCACGGTGAAATATAAAAAGCCGTATAGCTCCACGACCACATATTAAATGAAAAATATAAGAGTATAGGGTTATAGAGGAAAGACAGGAGATGAGCATAGGCTTTAAATAAAAATAAAAAGTTGTAGTTGTTGCCCCCTCATCTTTAATACATGTTACAATGTGGATAAATCACTGTAACGGAGCCATTTCAACTGTCTGGTGTATGAGTACGCACAGGGCCCGGTTACATGCTGAGAGTTATTGTTAGAAGCCAGTTGCATGGTGATATGGAAGTACCGGCAGTGTGGTTAGCTACCAGCTGTTAGAGTAACTACATTCCGGGCGCTAGGAAGGGGATCTACTCATGGGAGCAATGACTGACGAGTCTATGCTTCGCCAGTGACCAGAAGACCGGCCAGAGGGAAGCTCTGATTGCCCGGTGATCCTCTGTATCCTCTGAGCATTGTATGTCCGCCGAAGGGGCAGGGACTATGCTAGGGAAGTCTACAATAAGCGAAAGCTCTACAGTAATGATTAAGCTTACATCTGAGCGGCAGCTCATTCATGCAGGCCCCGGTTGTGTGGCAACCAAGGCTGCAGGTGTTACAAAGGCTTTGACTAAGGGTGGTTGCCTTGGGTATTGGAAACACCTGCTGACGCTTAGAGAAAAGCGGGGTAGCGGTGGTATTGTTTCCGGCACCGAGGAAAGGCTTCACCGAGACTTAGTAAGGAGTTAGGAGCAGAGAATAGAGGCCTTCGGAGTATAAGTACTCAGGTTCATTCTCGCCCTTCAGTCCTATTCTCTCCAGTCTTCATCAGAAAGAAAAGCCAAGTTCTTATCGGTAGCAGAGCCCTTAAAGATTATTGAGTTCTAGCGATAGTATCTTTGAATAATCTGCAACCTGATTGTCTATCTTGCACGGCCGTCTCTATTCTACTTTATTCTATTTTTCTTAGAAGAGACCCCCATTACAGATAATCTTTAAGGCTCAAGTCACCTTCAGATTATTCTTCCTCTATACAAAATGTCCGCCCTCCCGGCTCCGGATGCACCCCTTCAGATTGAATGGCAGCCGGTGCCCCTCCAGCTTGATGCCACCGGGCAGACACAGCTTGTCAAGAAGCCCAGGACCGCTCTACAGACCTACATTCCTGGTTGTGAGCCTGCCTGGCAGGATACCGATGAGGTTTCCCTTCAACAGTTCTTCACAGAGCTCCAGTCCTACCTCCAGCACAGCCTGCAGAATCAGTTGACCCGGGGCAGTCAGGCACTCCTTCTTGTACAAGAACGCTAGGCAGCACAGAATGCTCTCATGGCAGAAGCTCTCGAGTACATGAAGATGGAGGTCAACTCTGTTCAGGAAGAACTCCAGAAGTATGCGGAAAGAGATGAACTGAATGATGATGCCATGGAGATTGAGTGGACAAACCCGGCCACTCCGCCAGACTTTGTCGCCGAGATACAGCGAGCCCTGGATGAAGGAAGGCTGGTGGTGGGTAGACCAGGAACTCCGGCACCAAATCCAAACTCCAGGTCCTCTTCCAGGGCAGCTACCAGAACAATGCAGCGAAGGACCAGTCCCTTCGCAGCATTTCCGGTCAGATCCACTAGGAGAGTCATCCCTATTGTTCAGCCAGCAGTGGGGGCATCCCCCTTACCTCCTAGCCGCTTCGGTGGAGTACACCCACTCCTTGGAGGAGTTGACCGATCCTTTGACTATGAAGGAGAGTTCTTTACAGGTGCAGGCCGAGGACCTCCCAGTCCACTAGCCAGGAACCCGGGGAGGTTCACCATGTCTGGGGCCACTCAACCAGCAGCAACCTCACCATTGGCCAGCAACTCGGCACCAGTAGTACCTGTGGCCCCTCCTGCTGCGGCCGCCGCTCCCCCTCCAGCTAATGCACAGGGTGAAAGCGGTGGAAATCAGAACCCTCCACCTCCTGTGGCCCGCGCTCCCGCTCCAGGGGATTCAGACAGTTCTGACAGTTCAGATTCGGAACCAGAAGGTGGTGACAGAAGAGGCTGGCGGAGATACCTCAAGAAGAAGTTGGAGAAGCAGCAGAAGAAGCTGTTGGCAATGATGTCCCAGCAGTACCGACCTCCGGCCGCCTCTCCCCCTTCTGTATCTACCAGGGCCCGAGAACCAAAGGCACCACCACCCTCCAAGTTCCAGGGCAAGGCAGAGCAAGTGGAGACCTTCATCCGGCAATGTGAGAATGTGTTCTCCATTGAGAGCCTATCATTTACCTCTGAGGAGGTTAAGATCCGATATGCAGGCAACTTGATGGAAGGAGAGGCAGCGATCCGATGGTATGAGGCATACCATAATTCAATTGATCAAACCTCCACCAACCGCCTTGCTGGAATGCCGGTGATGTTGGATCAGAGATGGAAGCGCTGGGATTCCTTTGTGGATGCTTTTAGAGCAGCCTTCGGTGAAGCCATCTCTAGAGATGATGCTGTAGCCCATTGGAATACCCTCACCCACACGGCTCGAGGAGGAATAGACCTCTTTCTGAATACTATCATTCAGCTGATGTGGAAAACTGGCTATAAGGGTCAGTTGGTGGATGATAAGATTAATAATTCCCTCCTTCCGGACCTAGGCATGAGTTGGGCTCTTTTTAATCCCAAGCCAAAGTCCCTGATGGAGCGGATAGCTGCTCTAAGAGAGTTAGGGCACACACATGAGAGGTATCAAGGGTTGGCAGCTGAGAAAGCGCCCCCTCGGACCAAAAAGGATTCTACTGCTGAGAAGGACCGACAGCCCAAGAGGAAGAGAGAGGCTACAAGCTCCTCCGGACCTCCGAAGGCCACCGGACCTAAGGACAGAGCGGTGGAATTGAAGGGTATCCCGGGGGATATTCTAGAAGAAAGAAGGAAAGCAGAAGTATGCTTGAAGGTATGACCTTTCGGTACTCCCTATTGGTAGAGTGCATAGACTGACTTGTGCAATAGTGCGGCAAGTCCAGACACAAATGGACCGATTGTTGGTCTAAGGAACCTACTGTTGTCCGAGTGGCAGCAGTGAGAGTACAAAAGCGGAAAAGAGGGAATGGCAAGTCCAACTCTCAGAAGAAGGCTAAAGTGGCTGCTGTTGTAGCAGAAGATCCACTTGTTGTACTCCCGGAGGTTACAGAAGATTTTGTTTTCCAGCCTGAGCAAGACTCGGACAATGAAATCATCTGGTAGAAAAATGTCTGTTTTGAGTCTATGTTTACTAGTTTTTCTTTCATATGGGTTTTTGATTTCTATGTTTCTCTTGAATAAATTATGATTGTGTTTCTGCCTATTTGATTGCTTCAAGCACTCTGAGGATGGGTTTAAGACCCGAAACAGCTGGTCTGTCAGTGCTCTACCAAAGTTACATTTGTTACAAAGACACTTCCAAACCGCTACCAAAAACTACTATCACATATCACACTCGCTATATTATCGCTTGGGAATAGAACCAAAGGATCTGTTGATCTTAGTAGTGCCCGAAGCTATTAGCCATGTTGAGAAGACAAAGAGAAACGAGTGCAGAACCCGCTGCCAAGCGCAGAATGATGGAACAGAGACTTCCTTCTTTGCCAGTACATGGGAAAAGACTTATACTGAAAGCAGGACTGTCATGGACGGTCAAGGAAAAGGATGAAGGCGCCCAAGGGTCTTTCCTGTTTGATACAGGTTGTACAGGAGCTATCCTCAACCAGAGTTTTGTCAGGAAACATGGAATTCCCTTAGTGCGGCGGGATCAGCCTCTGACAATGTTTGATGCTCAAGGAGATATCATGATGGGAGGAGGCGAGTATTACACTCACCCGGTCCACATGACTATGGGAGATCATAAGGAGACACTCCGATGGGAAGTGGCTACTTTGGAAGAAGGAATGACCGGTTACCTGCCAATTAGTTGGGCTAGGAAGCA